GAACTTTTTTATATCTGTGCAACATCACATAACTGTAGCTGTGAATCAAGCAATAAAATTTGCAGATGGTAATCATCGATAATAAGAGATTTTGTCATTGTTTTATTTCTCATACGAGTGAGATGAATAGCAGTTTCAGGAAGATCGTAATCTTGGTTTGATACCGTTCTTTGTGTCGACAACACTTGGCACAACTTCCTGTTGCTCGTTTGACGTACTTTCTGAAATCGGCCCGGTTTGTCATGAAAACGATTTGTGGCTCCACGTGGATGCAGCATATGCTGGAAGTGCGATGATTTGTCCCGAATTTCGTCCACTTATGGAAGGAATAGAGTATGCGATGAGTTTCAACACCAATCCAAACAAATTCATGCTTATCAGCTTCGATTGCTCCACGATGTGGTGCGCCACACACTCTTTTTTTCCTTCAGCGTTTTTATTAGCAAAAATTCATAACAAAATTGTCAAGACGCGCTTTGACTTCTGTGAGCTGGGATTGTAATTACCAAAACAAAATTTAGTGATTTTAACCAGGTCAAGCTTGACACTCTGCAGTTGAACATAGTTAGTATCATAACAGTTTCTGCTTCTATACTTGACTGCAGTTGCGCTATTCCATCCGCTTTGCGCTACCCTTCACTCGCTCTATCCACATTTTTCCACCCATGTGAAATTGCCGACGCAAAGGCATCGAGAAGACAAGTAAACCTTTTGGCGGGAAAACGAGTTCGAGAATCAGGTAAGCTAAAAAGCTGAAATTCCGCAAGGGTATCCTTGCTTAAACTTCTTAAATTTCAAATTCAACTTTAAAGTATGCTTATCTTACATGTATGGAAACATTAAAGCTGAGATTGTAAAATCTCTGGCAAAGTGCTGGCTCGAGAACCTAGCTAATTAGATCACTAGCTTTATGAGGATATTTGCTTTCTATAGCCGGGCATGTAGACGGAAAATGAGTTTTGGTGTATGCCTGTGTCGAGTATTAGGAGGTGTCACAGAGACTGATAAAGAAGAGCGAAAGGTGATTTCGCCAAGCGGTCATGCTGGGGAGTTCAAACTTTACGAGGATATTTTATGCCCATACACGAATGCAACATTTCAAATTCAGCTTTAAAGAACTACTGTTCTTGGTTATAGTTACGTGCAAATGAAGGCTTATTTTGAAACACTACTAGCATCTAATTAATTTGGTAACCAGATTGAGTAGGATGAAGTATTTTTACAGAATGTCTGCTCTTCATGTGCGAGCCACCAAGCTTAAGACGGGTTTCTGTTTCGGCGTGAACCTTGCTTACAGTCTGATAAAATGTTTAAATTGCAACGACATAATCACGCCCCAAATGCGCAAACAGTTCCTTCAGAGAACAGAATCATGTAAAAACGCATGATCGCACTGGCAAGCCCGGTGCGTCGCTTCTTGATTATTATCTACATAAATCAATGGAAAGTACCTAAAAATTAATTGCTATTGCTGCTCTTTGAAACCTATTACGGGAAAGATATGTGCCCGTCAGGAATAGCATTTGGCTAAGATAACCTCTAAGCTATAAGATAATGTTATTGCTTCAGGGTAAAAGACAGATACAAGTTGACACAAGCACTTGTTGTGGATCCGCTCTACTTGCAGCACAGCTGGACTGGTTAGTCACTTTTCGCTTATTGTTGACAATATTTCAAAGCTTAAATATCAATATGATTTTTCCATCATCTGTTTAGATGGCACTTTTCAGATAAAGCGATTGACTATCGGCACTGGGGTATTCCATTGAGTCGACGTTTCCGATCGCTCAAGCTTTGGTTTGTCATTCGACTCTATGGTGTCGAGGGTTTGCAAAACTATGTCCGCAGGGTATGCTTTATTATGCGTTTTTGCATATATGCAAATTGCAAAAACGCATATTGGGAAGAGGCTGTCTGTGTG